CCTACGAAATCGCTCCAAACCGTCATATGTGGAAAGAACTTCCCAAGAGAACACACTACACCGACGGCAACATTCAAGAACTGTCGGCGGATGATGGTTTGGATGGCGATTAAATTCGGTGAGCGGCCTGTCTGGCGGTCAACATCCGACACCATCAACAGCAAGGTGTTTATTGCAATTGTCAAGGATGCTTTCGGCTACAACGGCATAAGTCGGCGCCGAATGGATACTGTAATTTTGCAGGACAATGCACCTGTCCACCGCTCTAAAGAGGTACGAATTTGATGCCGCTTGCAAATATAATCTAACATTTTAGACAACAACCACCCTCTCCGCCATCGGCCTCCAATCCATTTTCATCCCGGCCAACAGTCCCGATTTGAATCCTATCGAAAATCTTTTTGGAATAGTCAAAAGAAATTGGCACAAAGCTAAGAAGACTCTTTCAATGCAGGAAAAATTGGACTTCATACTCAATAATTACATTCCACAATCCACCATAGATAACCTCGTCATGTCTATGTCTGACAGACTTTCTGCCGTTATTAATTCAAATGGACAATCAACAAAGTACTGATTTTTTGTATCTGTTTCTGTCCTTAATTATTTTTGCCTTTTTATGCGCCCTCCTCCTTTATACGCCCTCATACGTAGCCTTTATTAACTTGGTTGTAATGTAGGCGTTTCTCGAAAATGTGACTTTTGTCGAAAATTATTTATTTTTATCTCAGTAAATAATATTTTCTTAACCAAACTTTGCTTTATTTCTTTGACATATCTCTTATTTTCCGCTATCAGACTTTGGGAGCCGTAGTGTTTACCGATTCTGCGTTTAAGTCGTTAACCTGTGTTAATTCATGACATTTCATGAGTTTATCGCATCCCGTGCTCAAATTGCTCTTGCGTGTATGTTGGTCATACAGGTCGAAGCCTGGGCACCCGTATTAACGAACACAAACTGGCTGTCCGTCGGCGAGACCCTCTGTCCGTCGTCTTTGCTCACGCACTCGAGTGCGACCACCGATTCAATTGGGATGCCACTGAGGTCGTCGCCATGGCTACCACAAAACGGGCGAGAGAATTTCTCGAGGCTTGGTACTCCGATGCTGGTAGTATCAACCGCCATGTTGATCTGGACGCCCATTATGAGGGCCTACGCTCACGACTTACTGCCCCCCGCCCTAATGCCACAGCAACGGCCGCCAATTTAGCCACCCGGAGTCCAATTGATCCACCATTACACCCTCCCCTCCAGCACAGGCATCCATAATTGTTCCACCTCCCCCCTCGCTCAGAGACCTACCATGACTTTGTGATCATCCCTCTCATAGGCCGATAGTCTGTCTGCCCTGTCGCGCTAACTAGTCCAGTGTGACAAACAAACTTTCTCCCCTGTTTTCATTTCGTCTGACGACGGGTTGGTGTCACCAGCTCGAAAATTCACGAGTACAACTCGATTTTTCCGAAGAACCTCTTCCTGTTTTCAATATATAAGATTATATGAATAAGATTATATTAATATATGAATATATAAATATAGTTGAGGTTGTGTGCATTCCGGGTTAATTGGATGAAAAGAGAATGCTGGACGGAAATATTGAGTTGTACTCGGGAATGTTCGAGCTGCTGACACCAACCCGTCGTCAGGACGGCCCACGACCTAACAACAACCGCTAATGCACACTGGGCCACGTATAATCGAAAAATTTCGTCATCCCCTACCCCAGACATAGCGAATCGCATCTGCTATCCCTAACACCTCTACGTTGGCTCAGTGACCTTTGCCCGCATGTCAGATCGAAGATCATTAAGCCCACTGTCCGTAGTCCCGTTGAATCATCATCCCCCTACCCTCAAACACAGGGAGCCGCAACGGTTCCCCCTCCCCTCCCCCGCCACAAATCCTAGCCTACTTACATTAGTTGCTTGCCTGTCAGTGGCTGCCCTGTCACGTCAACCAATTTAGTCTGATCATTTCACTTTCTCCTCTGTTTATTTCGTCTGACGACGGGTTGGTGTCACCAGCTCGAAAATTCACGAGTAAAGCTCGATTTTTCCGACGAGCCTTCTCTCTTCACAAGATTATATCTCCAAATTGGCTGCCACATGAATGGTCAAAATCGTTACCAGCAAGACAGTTAGCAATTTAAATAAAAAAAGAAAAGCAACGTCAACTCCACTGATCTGTTTTTTTGAAATGGCAAACGTGACTTCTCCTGACTAATTAAGAGAGAAATAAACACATACTGTAAATGCGTAATGCCACTTATTTCGTTTAGTTATTTTGATAGGTAGTCCGCAGACCCTGCCAATATAAGTCCCTGTCCACCGTCTAAGTATTTCCGGCTACTGTAGGGCCAGAATACGGTTATTTCCCACCTCTAAATATATCAGTTGCATTTTGCATGTCGAATTTAGCATTCGAAATGATTAGGTGCGCTTCGTCCCACTGGATCACTCTTACCGGAAACCTCAGGCCATTTTTGCGGTAGTAATAATAGCCAGCAAGTGTAGCAAGTAGGTCAACAATGACTTACAAGTTGTCATATCAAGCTGATAAATATGTTGGCATAGGCTTAATCAGAATTGAAATGGCAGTAGCTCTAGGCGGTTCCGGCGCTCCAGCGAGCTTGTATAGCCATGGTTCACAAAATCAGGACAGAGTCGGAAAATTGTTTTCCCAAAAAATCTCTGGACTCATTCTATTTTTTTATCATGCAAACAGATTTGCTTGCATTTAACTGGATTGAAACAAGCATAACCAAATCATTCCCGCATTAGTTATGGAAAGTGCTGCTGTGTTAAAAATTTCAAATGGAAGTAAAATCTATCCTTTTAAGTATGAGAGATATCCATTAGTTTTAAATTCGGTGCTTTTTTTCGAAACTACCAGGTAAGAAAATACTAAATTTGAAATCGTCCTGACAAAGAGATACGCGCACGATCGCTTTAAAAAGTTGACACCATTTCACCACCTACTAGTGTGAGCAAATCTGATTTAAATTTTCTCAAATCTTTGCGGAATGTCTAGAGTCAATTAATTCGTTGAAAAACTAATCCTTCACATATTTTCCTTTCCAGGATTAGAGATGTCGTTTATTACAACAGAAAATGCGTTTTGGGCTTTGAAATTTGCACATACGCAGTCACATTTGATTGCGCAAAGTGCATTTGCTTCGATATTTCACAGCCATCTGCTAAAGGAAAAGCTAATTCGGACGTAAAATAAGAACTTCTGGCGGGAAGGCTGCATGTTTCTTGTCACAAGCGACGCATACACTGAAAACTTGTGATAATTTCGGAACATTTCAAATTTATAAACTAGCATCATTTTTTTCCTGAAAATTTGCGGATTAAAGTTTGCCATTTTCACAATTTAACCTATAAATTTACATTCCTACTGCGAATGTATTTACTTAGTGTGGAGATCTCAAATAAAGTCAGATTTTCATGACACCATGTATAGTGTTAACCCAGCCGGACTAGCTAAGCCAATTTCGGCCTGGCGAGTGGCTGTCTGTTTGTAACATCCATCGTTTCCTAGAGATTTTTTCGTTTTGGAAATCAAATACGGCCGTCCCTGCATGAATAAATAATCGAACTGCTACCTCAGGGAATACCGGGCTGAAAAATCCTGATGAACGTCTGTTTGATTTAGTGGCTGCGACTTATCTAAGGTCCCGCGGTTTAGTTCAGTTTAGCTTGAGGTAAACGCAGGAGCTAAGCCTTTGAACTCCCTATTCTTTACAAGGAATTGAAGTGCATCAAGAATTTGAGAATGAAAACATCAACCAGCTCCAGAAATTTTTTGAAACTGGACAGATAAACAACTGTTCCGAATGCTAAAAACATTTACGTCACTAAACACACTGTAGAGTAGTCAATCTATGCATTATTGTGTTGTAGGCAATTGGTACAATTGTTTGAGGGAGACGAGTTAAAGGACAATAACCGCGCACAATGGACCTGAGACGATAACTAAATAAAAATAAACGTTACTGAAATACAGACAGTAATAGTATAACGGCAAAAAACGGTTAGATAGGGATGTAATGACGATATATGTCGGTTGACATGATGTGAAGTGGTATATTGGTCCAGCTTATGCTAAAAAGCCTTGGCGGATGTGAGATGACGATATCATCAGGCAGCGCATTCCAAACCTCAACTTTCACATGTTCAGCCTGGCGACAGTCACACGTAGTGTGAATGGCTTAGACACATTTTCTGCGCGAGAAAAAGATATTTATTTGAAGAAGCTGGATGATCGAGCAAAATGCACAACATTTAAGGCAGGCGAAAATTCTCCTACCAACTCCCGCGAACAAGTTTCATGAATATGCCGAATAAGATTTTTTTTGAAAGTTCCGCACACGTTTAATTTAGAACGACTGAACTCGACCATTAAACCAAAGAATGAATAGTGCTTTTCGAAAACGGGATTTACGAACATACGACGGAGTCTCGATCTAACTTTAGGAAAGTGGCAATAGAGAGAAATAAAGTCACAAGTCTAAGCAACTTTGGTCGAAATTCTGTCGACAAGAAATTTAGATTATTGATTTAGTTTAAACCTAAGTTCTTGATGGTGAAACAAATCTCTAATTGGGGTAGATTTTCAAGCCTGAAATACATGTAACGACAATAAGCCTGGCTCCAGTCACACGTAGTTTGCGTGGATGACCTCGGAGCTTCGTTGTGGTTGCTAAATCAAAGAAGTTGTCGCGAACGCTAAAGACAGAACCGTCAATCCCAGACTATAAAAATCAGGATAAGACCAGAGTTATGGAAGAATTAATAATCAAAAGTCAAACGACCTGACAATCCCACTCATGCCAAGCGCGTCGCGTCGAGTTGTGTTCATTCCATTCAGTTAAACAACCAGTAAGTTCAAGAATGAGGAACAGGTAGGGAAAGGCAAGATAGTCTGGCGCCTCGGCACAGTACCCCCCTCCGAGACCGGAGGCCGGCGAAAACGACGCCGAAGGATGTGTACAGGTCTAAAAGAAATGCGTGACCAACCGATCAGGAAAGTGTACATGACGACCACTACGAGTGATATATACAGGGTCCGTAGAAGAGTGAATACATCCGGTGGCGGAAGTGTTGGAGTTGGTGGTGGCAGTCGGAGATGGCGGACAGGAGGGCAGAGGGAAAATACGGGACGGTGGAATAGAGGCTGCATGGGGGAAAGCAGAAGGTACAGGACCACAGGATTCATCCGGAGGAGTGTCAGGGACGGCAGCCTTGAGGCGGTCCACACTCACGACCTCTTCACGATTGTCGCGCTGAATGCGGAAAGTCTTCGGCCCGCGAGAGAGCACCCGAAATGGGCCGTCATAGGGCGGTTCCAGAGGCCGGCGGACTCGATCACATCGAAGGTAGACGTGAGAGCACGTTGCCAAGTCCTTCTCGAGATAAGACGGAGAGGCGGAGGACCTGGGAGGAACCGGAGAAAGTGTCCGCATAAACTGCCGGAGACGATGCAGGAGGTTGGTAGGATCCTCAGCTGCACCTTGAGGGGTTGGCGAGATCATCTCACCGGGGAGTCGGACGGTGGAGCCGAACACCAGTTCAGCTGCGGAACAGTCAAGGTCCGGCTTGAGAGCGGAGCGGATGCCCAAGAGGACCAGGGGAAGGTGATCCGTCCAGTCCTCCGGATCGGTTGCGGCGCGTAGGGAGGCCTTCAGCTGGCGGTGAAACCGCTCGACCATCCCGTTAGCAGCCGGGTGATAGGCTGTCGTCCGGATGCGGGTACAGCCTAAAAAGGAGAGTAAAGACTGGAAGAGATTAGATTCAAATTGGGCACCACGGTCAGTCGTGATTGTGGAGGGTGCACCAAAGATAGCAACCCAACGACTGAGAAAAGCCTTGACCACCGTTGGAGCAGCAATGTCAGGCAGGGGAATTGCTTCAGGCCACCGAGTGAACCGATCCACACAGGTGAGGAGATAGGAACAACCATTGGACAGAGGCAGGGGGCCTACAATGTCCAGGTGAACGTGGCTGAACCTTGCACCAGGGCCGGGGAAAGTACCAATAGGGGCCTTGTTGTGCCGCTGGATCTTGCTCCGTTGACAGGCAATGCAAGCCCGTGTCCATGCCTTCAGGTCCTTGTGCATACCAGGCCAGACGAAGCGGTCGGAAACCAGCTTGTCGGTTGCTCGACTCCCAGGGTGAGAGAGATTGTGCAGGGAGGAGAAAACTTTACGGCGGAGGGATGGCGGCACAAATGGACGATGGGAAGGGGTGGATACGTCGCATAAAATGGTGCCATTGCCAGTCGTCAGTGGTAGTTCCTGGAGTTGGAGTCCGGAAACATCCTCATCACAGGGTGGACCGACACGGCGTTGTTCAGCGGCCATTTCAGCGAGGTCTATCCCGGGTGAAAGCTGAAGATGAGCAATAGAGGGCCTGGACAGTGCGTCAGCCACCTCATTCCTTGACCCGTCAATATGGCGGATGTCTGAAGTGAACTGCGAAATGTAGTCCAGGTGACGGATCTCCCGGGGGCTTAGCTTGTCAGAGTGGGAATGCATCGCAAACGTGAGTGGCTTATGATCAGTGAAAATTGTGAACTCTCGACCTTCAAGTAAATGCCGGAAGTGCCTTACGGCAAGATAAGCGGCGAGAAGTTCACGTCCGAATGTGCTGTAGCGGGTTTCTGCTTTGGATAGTTTCTTGGAGAAGAAAGCCAAAGGCACGGTAGAATCCGGCAGACTTTGTTGAAGAACCGCGCCAACAGCAACATTGGAGGCATAGACCATCAAAGATATGGGTGCATCAGCGTGAAAGTGAGTCAGGAGGGTGGCGTCAGCCAGAAGGTCTTTTACCTGCTCAAATGACGTGAGTGCGGCTGATGTAAGTTCAAAGGTGCGTTTGGGACCTGAGAGGAGATCGGTCAGAGGTAGGATGGTATCGGCACAGTTCGGGAGAAACCGGCGATAAAAGTTCACCATACCAAGAAACCGTTGCAACTGACGCTTCGAGGTAGGGGGTGGAAAGTCCCGAATGGCGGCAACTTTTGAGGGAAGAGGCCGAATACCGTTTGAGTCTATCAGGTGACCTAAGAACTCAAGAGAAGTGGCTCCTAGGACACATTTAGAAGGATGCAGGGTGACACCAAACTGCTGAAATCGGTCGAAAAGCAGGGTAAGGTGATGGAGATGTTCCTCCACATCTCGACTGGCGACGAGAACATCATCAATATACGCATAAACAAATGGAAGGCCGCGTAAAACACGGTCAATGAAACGTTGGAAAGTTTGTGAGGCATTTCGGAGACCAAATGGCATGCGAAGGAACTCGAACAAGCCAAAAGGAGTCGTCACTGCCGTTTTGGGAATGTCCTCAGCCGCAATCGGAATTTGATGAAAAGCCCGCACCAAATCGATCTTCGAGAAGATGGTTTTGCCGAAAAGGGCTCCAGCAAAGTCCTGAAGATGAGGAACAGGGTACCGATCGGGCATAGTGATATTGTTTAGGGCTCTATAATCGCCACAAGGACGCCAATCATCCGTATTTGGTTTAGGAACCATGTGCAAAGGAGATGCCCAGGGACTGTCAGACTGTCGAATAATCCCTAGTTGCAGCATGTGGTCAAATTCTGCTTTATCAGCCGCAAGACGCGCGGGAGCAAGACGGCGGGGACGAGAAAAAACGGGAGGACCAGTCGTTTTTATGTGATGAACAATATCATGGGGAAATGAGGTGTCAGAAAAATGGGGCTTAGTGAGGGTAGGATATTTTGCTAAAAGTCTACGAAATGGACAGTCAGGGTTTGGGTCAAGGACGGAGAGCTGGTTAGAAACTGAGGATGGAGGAAATCCTTTGACAGTGAGGGTAGTTGCGCGATCATGGAGGCGAAGTTGTCTGCAATCCACCAGAAGGTCAAAGGCGGCCAAAAAATCAGCACCAAGGATAGCAGTGGGAACATCAGCAACCACAAATATCCAGGGGAATAATCGCCGGAGACCAATATCCAGGGAGAGGGATCGAAATCCAAAGGTTGTAATGGGGGAGGAGTTTACGGCCTGAAGGTAAAGACCATGGTTTGGGCAACGTCGGTCGGCTGGTGTGGGAGGGATAACACTAATCTGAGCGCCAGTGTCGACTAAAAAATGTCTGCCACTCGTGTTATCACTCACGTAAAATGTGCGACCCGTAGAGTTGCCAGAGAGCTCGGCCGCATTTACTCTCCGGCCGAGGAGTTTCCCTGCGTGGACTTGAAGGAGCAGGGTGGGACACAGCGCCGCGCCTTATCGCCATAGTTGACATGATACCAACATAGGTTGGCGGTCCTGGGGCGAGAGCGGGAACGACGACGGTCACGACCGAAGGAACGTCGAGAGGGACCGGGGAATCGGCGCAGCTGCAAAGCGGCAACAGTCGCTGACAACTGGGCAATCTGCGTCTTTAGTTCAGCAAGGTCAGAGGTGGACACGTTGAGAGGCTGGGACACCTGAGCAATCGTCGGGGATGACAAACGCTCAACCTCCATCATACGGTCAGCCATCTCCGCTAACTTTGATATTTCTAGGTCGTCGGAGCCAGAGGCCAAGATTGTTTGTACAGACGTCGGCAGACGTTCTAAGAACATCTCTTTAAAGAACTTGTCGTCGATTTTCATGTTCCCAACCAGAGAACGCATGCGACGCAAGAGTTCCGACGGCTTGCGATCACCTAAGGCCTCCTCTTTTACTAGTGCGTGATAACGCTGCCGATCGGAGACTGATGTCAGGCGAAGAAGTTCAGCCTTTAACTTAGTGTAAGGAGCATCAGTCGGGGGATCCCTCAGAAGCGTCTGCACTTGAGAAAGAATGGTGGGAGGGAGGGCCTCGACCAGCTTATAAAACTTGTCGGTTTCACGTGTTATCTTGGCGGAGTGAAAAGTCGCCTCAATACGGAAAAAATAAAGCTCTGGCGCATGTTGCCAAAAATCTGGGAGGGAAGAAACAAGTCCACTGAGAGAAGTGGGATCATTGGAATTCGTAGAGGACATGATTGTAGAAAGAAAGAAGGCAAACGGGCGGTATGCAAATTGGAAGTTGACTAATTAAAGGTATAAGCGTGAACGTCAAGGGGTCACCACTGTCGCGAACGCTAAAGACAGAACCGTCAATCCCAGACTATAAAAATCAGGATAAGACCAGAGTTATGGAAGAATTAATAATCAAAAGTCAAACGACCTGACAATCCCACTCATGCCAAGCGCGTCGCGTCGAGTTGTGTTCATTCCATTCAGTTAAACAACCAGTAAGTTCAAGAATGAGGAACAGGTAGGGAAAGGCAAGATAGTCTGGCGCCTCGGCACAAAGTCACCAGGAAGAAGACAGTAGTCCTGACAGCGCATGAGACGGAATGATTGTGCCAGGTCAACAATTAGCTGTTTGTGACTCAGAGGAAAATGGCTGAGACTGGATTGACGTGTTTTGTAGGGTAGTGAACCCTGCCCATTAACAAGCCTGGTTGCACGCCTTGGAATTTTCTCAAGGATGCTGACGTTTTTGGCGTATGTAAGACCGTATATTCTGGCTACAGCTGGTCATCAGGAATTTAAGCGTTCGGAAACGATTTGCGTCAGTTAAATCTCTTTTTACCAAAATCTGTCAATATAAATATAGCCGAATTCTCTGTTGCACTCTTCACTGCAAGATATATACAGCGAGTGACCGATCTCAAGAATTTTTGACTGAAATTCTGGAATGAGTTTTCGATTAGAAAAGATTACTTGGTCGCGATTGTAATCCTGATTATCTTGCGGCATAAGCTTATCACATTTCGAACTCGGCATGATGTCAGCTTTTAAATACACGGCCTTCAAATCTCCTGTAGAAACCGTACTCGGTAAAACATTACTACTTATATAGCATGCATTTTCCCCACTGATTTTCGAGGGTCTTGTAAATTCAAAAATAACTTATAGAAACCATAAACACTAACATGCTTTCTACCAGACAATTAATAGAGAATCATGTATTCTTTATACTTTATACTAAGGGAAGGAATATTATTAGTTTTTAAAAAGTTTTCTAATTGCCGAATTATTTGGAGCTTGATCATTCGCTGCATTAGCGCTTAGTGATTTCAGTCTACAAGGTGCATGCGTTCCGCGCAAAGAAAATCACCTATTATTCTATGTCTTTAAAAAGATATCATATAGAGTTCATAAAATTTTGCAATGGAAGCAGATTATGTTGTACGTTTCATGAGGAGCAGTGGTAAACGAACAGGTGAGATGCCGTGTGAGTGGACATTGCGCGGTCTTAAAAAATCTCATAAGTAGAAACTTTTTTAAAACCTAATAATACTCCTTCTTTGAGTATAAAATATAAAAGCGATATGATTTTCTATCAAACGACTGAAAGAAGGCGTATTTTTGTAAGTGGTTTCTTTAAAATTTATTTGAATTTGCAAGACCTCCGAAAATCAATGTGAAATATACATGCTACATAAGCAATCATATTTTAACGAGTACATTTTCTACAGGAGGTGGAAAAAAGAGATATTCGAAAACCGACACCCTGCAAAGTCCGAAATATTATAAGATTATCTCGCAAGATGATCAGTATTACAACCGCGCCTAAGTAATCCTTTCTAATCGAAAATACATTCCAGAATTTCAGCCAACATTTCCTGTGATCGGTCATTCACTGTAAGTTAGTTGGACCCGAAATTTCAATGAACGTTCGAGTCGAAGACAATCAGCGTCTGTGAGGTAACCACGTAGTGTGCATTCCACGTTGTAGTATGTTGGCCATATACATTTCATGCTACTCGCAGTAGTAATTGTTTGTAGAATGGAAATTACCTGGTTATTCCCAGTAATTGATTGTCTTCGATTCGAGTCTTCATTGAAATTTCGGATTTGATTAGTTTACTACGAAAAGCCCCTTGGGATATTCATTCTTGAGCGTTCGGCTGATTGAACGCAGCTGCAGCCCGGCCTTTCTCTCCCAAGTACGTCTACACGACCATCTAGAACACGGTTTTCTCCCAGACGGCCATTGTGGCTCACGACGACACCGCGGGACAACTGATATGATCTTCATGGTCTGCAAACTGCGGGAAAAGCACCAAGAAATCCACGCCAACCTTTGCATTTCGTTCATGGACCTGGGAAAAGCCTTCGTCAGGGTAAATCGAGATGAACTATGTGAGCTCATGCAGGAATTCGACATGGCGGCGTGCGCCGCGGATAATGGGAGAGTCTCAGAAACATTCGTAGGGCTGCATCCGCGCTCTCACCTTCCTCAGTCTCAGTCACATACTGCCTATATCATGCGCCGCTGTGCGGCTGTTGGTTGGGCTCGGGAGAGAGAGAGTCCGTTAAGCACAACGGAACGAGTGAGTTACGTAAGAACGATCGGCAAGCACCCCTACCATTTTATATTCCCGATCAAAACCGACAGGACAACCGACTCGTGGCCCAGTGGTTAGAGACGCGGACTTCTATCAAAACAGGTCGCGAGTTCGAGCTTCGGGTGTTCCACACTTCGGGATTGGGTATGGCTGACTGAAGACAGTTAATAAACCAAGAATGGCCTTTTCAGTCTCCCTTGTCTTCGTCGGTAATAACATGCAGTCTCATTTCCACTGTCCTGTTGATCGAGGTTTGTCGTGAGGGTTGCCCTGAGATCAGAATCGTCTACAGGACTGGTGGTAAGCTTCTAAATAGCCAGCGCATGAAGGTCCTAACGCGTCCATCCATGACTACTGTCCACAACCAGCTCTTCGCGAACGATTGCGCGATCAGGTACGCAGCAGTACCGGGTACATAACGAAATCCGAATTTACTTTCCACCGGCTGTTCTCATTTTGAGTTAATTATCAACTCGAACAAGACAGAAGTCGTGCATCAGCCGTCACCCAGCATTGAATCCAGCGATCTTCCAACCACCGTCAACGACACCCCTCTACAAGCAGCGGACGAATTCGCCTATTTACGCAGTGCACTTTCACGGGGCATTGAAAGCGAAGATGAAGATACGCGCCGGATCTCCAAAGCTGCTCGGACCTTTGGCAGGCTGCAGACCCCTGTCTGAAATCGCCACAGACTTCGATTAATCAGAAAACTCGAAAGTTTAAGCATAGTAGTCCTGGACGAGACGTAGACTCGGACAATCTACGCAAAGCAAGTCAGTAAAATCAATAATTTTTAGCTGAGTTGTCCCGGAGAATACCGAATCTGAGATGTCGAGAGGAGATCCCAGGAGCAAAAATCCTTGATCGGAACGAAATTTTCAGAACACACGCCACTTTATGGTTAATACAGCTAAACTAATGTGGCCCTTATCGCGAGAGTGGAGGACTATCAACAACCCAAGCGACTCTTTTATGGCGTTGTCAATACGGGTGCTTACGGACAAGGAGGACAAATAATAGGCACATGGAGACTCTGGAAATCTCTCTCAAGAAACTGAAATTCAACAGGGAGATTCGGGAGGACCTTGACTGCGATAAACCAGCCTGGAAGGAAACAAGGAAGACAGGAGCAACAATTTACGAAGCCAATCATATCGCCACTGCCGAAGCGAATACGCAGCTCGCAAGGCCAAAGTGTCTTCGACCTACAACGCCATCACTCCACCACTTCCAACATGCCCACGCTGTTAAATGACATCCCGCGCACGGACCTAATGCATCAACAAGCTCTACAAATCAACCGGCTGCCTCTACAAAGGCCTCCATCATCCATATTTGAAGTGCGATCTTTTCCCAGCTGAATAGCTGAAATTACGAGCCCAGGTTTCAGTTTTGAAAAATTGAAAATAAGACACGTGTATGCAACCCGTCAACAACGTTCTTCCGGTCTCCTCGCATTTTAAGCTTTTTAAATTCTCTTAGGGAATGCGTGGCACTATAGCAATTTGTAAACTGAAACGCGATTTGATGCGGGGTTGTAGTTGGGTATCTATTGAAATGCCTTGAATGAACAAATTCTCGTTTGCCTGAGCTTAAGTAAGGTATGATTATTAAAGAAGAAAGAAGACTTAATAACTGGCATGAGGTCTGCATATTATGAAACATTTTCCCGGGTACGAATTCAAATCATGCGCGCACGGCAGGATTAATCGGCATTAACAAATTTCGCGACAATTTGTCAACTGAAATCCGTCTTTGCGTGTTCGCGTGGAGAAATATCCATATAATCAAGTCTGACATACGCCGGCAACCAGACGTCGCGTTAATCGAATAAGTCGATTTTTGCATAATGTCGATTCGCCTGCACCAGTTTCGGACCAACCAGACCCTAATAATCATTTTGCATAAATCCTGTCAAATATATATATATATATATATTGCTGTTTCATACGATTTTTCGCCTAATTATCGGGGTTAACTCGGAGGTATTACTTCACGAAGACCGGTAGGCAAAATGTGCAGTTGCCTTTAATAATATAAGGTGATTTTAATTCGGCTGCCTACCAACAGCGTTCAGTTACCTATGATGTGTTTAATATTCATAAGGGCATTTCCCTACATGAAGCTATAAGAGCCGATTAAGGAGGACGGTTTCACTTTTGACTTTTTCACGGCCACACATTTCAGTTTAAGGCCGATGACAAAATCTGTGCAGTATTTCTTTCACATCGGTCGACGTTTACAATCACAAACGTGTATACAGGGTAATAATTGCGATTTTTAAACAATTTTCTTCTCCATCCCTTCACGTAACAAGCTCATGCGGATCGCATATTTTGGGGCATAGCTCCTTTCACATAAGGGAAATCGTGTTTCTATCGTTTCCACCGGCAGCATCTGCTGGCATAAACGTCAACCTCGCGCACTGATTCGTTATTAATTCCATCCGAACCCGGCACAGCTTTCTATTGGCCCAGGCCCAGTCTTATAAGCCTCCTGCTGACTCAGGCTGCGTATTCACGATGACTGATTATCCAGATGAATTTTGGATTTGTAGACTACACTACTACATATCCGACGCCATGGATATTTGCGCCTTCATTCTGGAGACCTTCGGCTTCATCGCCAACCTCGCAGTAACAGTTCTCCTCTTTCTTCTTCGCGCTAAGAAAGCCGAGGGTCTAGCACTCTTACCTCTTCTCTCCGTCAGCTGTCTAGCTTTCGAAATCATCAGCTTTGCTGATGATATCAGCACACACAGCACTCACACTGGCAACGCCTTCCTTGACAGCCTGATCTGCGTTCTGTGGAACACTCGTTTTCTCTTCTGGTATGCCCTTGCTCACGTCTATCACGGCTTCTTTTTCTTTGCCTGCAACAGAGTCCTAGACCTGCTGCAAGTCCGGAGGTACCTCATTGTTACGGAGAAACAGCGTCTCACCGTCTTCAAGCTCTTGGTTTTCACTTGTAGTTTCTTCAGTGCGGCACCTCAGCTACTGTTAGCACAGCCGCATTCGGAGGACTGTGTCTGTGCGTCACCGACTGGGAACTTTGCCATTCTGACAATGATTTATGCCCATGCCTATCTCTGGATCGCAGTCTTCGGACTCATCTATCCCGCCATTCTTGTCTACATTTGCGTTGTTTTGGTTTTTCGAGTGCGAAGATCAGAGAGGGGCGCGGTGGTGGATGAAATTGACCATCTCCACTTTCCACAACCACTACCGGGATCTTCCAGCACTACTGCATCTACGCACCCAGTTGCCTCCTCAGCTCAGTCCATCCCGAGCGGTGGGGAGAGGGCTGACTCCGTAGCTACTGTCACGGTTCCTCATGTCTGGTCGGCCTCGTTTTGTATCCTACCCCTTACTGCTGTCTACATAGCAACCATAACCTTTGAGGCGACCCACCAGTTTCTGAGTGTGGCTGGAATTTTCCGTTACAACCTACGCAGTCCAGCTCAGCGATTTAGCGGAATATTGGTGAATCTCTTTGCAGCGCTAGTGCCAATGATTCTTTTTTTTCACATCCCCGCGTTGCGGTCGCTGATCTTTGTCGCAATTGAGTCCATGCAAAGGAGATGTAGAAAGATCAGGTTTTTGGACACTGGGCACTTGGAGTCGCAGGCGGAATAGTTACAGATCATTTGACAAGTTAACCACTCATCGAACACCTTATGAAATAACCGATAGCATATTGGAAGAAACAGAAATGTTCCTGATCCTCAGACATAAAAGTGCTTATGCCAAAGTGATTTTGCCAGTTTGATTGTCTGTTTAATTGATGTGTTGGAATAAACTGTGCCTGCAAAAGCGTTAAAATTATATGTCCTTTCCTCTGCAGCCGTTTCTGAAATGCTCGTCATATTCATTCGTAATCTAGGCGAGACGACATCTACCTAACTGTCAAATCTTGCACATTTCCTTGCTATTTGTTGTTGTAATTCTTAGCCAGTCGTAGTAAGGTCATCTATGTGGGATTTATATGCTGACCTCCGCAAGATGGAGGCAAAACTGAGGCAGCCGTAGATCAACCATATGATAATAATTGCGCCATAATAGAGAAATTGTCTGTGCCTTTTCATATTTTTCGACGCCGAGACTTCTCGCTAACTTGTATGTCATCTGGGGCGAGTCCGTCATTTGAAACCATTACCTACGTAAACAATTACTACTTATGTAAGCGAAGAGAATTTTTTTATCAATTTTTGCTGCCTACATAAATTCCCGTCTATCTTATGGAAAACACGCACATGACTATCCTTTCCTTTACTCATCTGCTACAAAACTACGTCTTCCTTAAATTTTATAATTAAAGGAATGGTGTAATTCGGCTTTGAAAAAATTTCCAATTCCCAAATAAATTTGAGCCCGAACTATCGTTGCACTTGTATTCAGGGCTCGAGAAATTTAAGCTGTATATTTTCCTTGTACGGAAAATTGCAGTTTTCATACGAAATTTAGAGGAAACTATAGAAGATATTTTTCATTTGGCACTAAATTTGAGCTTTATTGTAGACTTTACAAACAACGTTATTAAATGCAGAAACATAAGGTTTTATGAATGGGCGTTCCGCGGTCTTAAAAAATCTCATAATTAGGAACTTTCTTAATCCTACTCATACCCCTCCGTTAAGCATAACCGTTTAAAAAGATGGAATTTTTTTCCCAAGAAAAGACGAATGTTTTTATGCATGTTTTCTAAGAGATATGTTTAAATTTATAAAGGCATCAAAAATCTACAAAAACGTTCATGCTTCATATGTATTCATTTTTTGCGGAGTATAGTCTTTGCTGGCCGCCAAAACGAAGTTCGTTCAAAAGCTGGCATTTTGCTGCATGGCGATTAGTATTACGATGCTACTTAAATGACCTTTTCGATTTGAAGACGCATTCCAAAATTTCGGTGAACATTTTGTGAGTTAGAAAATCTACTGCGTCGTGGTAGAAATGTTCTCCATTATCCGAAAATTTACTCCTGGGTAAAATTTGACTAACGGACATGGCACACGTGACGTAAAGCACGACATGCTCTTTCACGAATTGACAAAATGCTAAGACATGTGTCCGCATGACGTCATCTTGAATAAGGCATAAGTGTTCCGCTAGAAAAATATCCGTTCGGGTGTATAAAAAAGTATTATCATATGTTTAGTTATGATTTTGTTTACCTTCTAATCTTCTTTCGAATTTAAGCAAGGTTGATGAAAACGGGGAAATTGCAGTGGAAAAGAATGTGTTTTTACCTGCGAATGATTTTGAAAATGTTACGTGACTCATAAAGTGTGCCAAAACAAATGAAATCTTGTATTCCTAGCCGGTTATGTTTAGCCACAAAAGAAAATTGCAAGGAGAACTGGTCAATCGCAAAAACTTTGAACTCTACTTAACGAAATACCCTGTGTTACTTGACCATTTTTAACTATGGAACATTTTTAACAAAGAAAACCTTTTTTATCCAATCCAATATTCACAAGACATGGACTCTAGGTGGATTACTTAGAGAGTTTTGCTTGGGCAGTCGGTTTACTGTATTTAAGTCTGATGACTTCTATACGTTGCAGTAAACTGGACGGGTAACTCGACACTAATGCGATTAGACTCAGGGCTCCCGTCGGGTCTCGTCGCAAAGGTGGCTAGAGCGTTGGCTACGATGACGCCTTTCCCATGCTGTTGTGAGTCCGATTCTCTCCAAGCTCGTCGAGTTTTTCACAGATGGGTCAAAATGAATAAGCGAAAAGGCTTATCGAGTTAATACAGGTGAGACCTTGTGTATTTCGTAGGCTAAATATGGTTTAGCACATAAATAATTCATTTTCTAAAACCAAAGTGCGTAACCTTCGTCTGTGAACGATAAATTTTCGACGCAGCCTCTAAACAACCAGCCAGTAAGTATGAGAAAACATTTCATAATCCAGCGGCTAACGATTTTGGCAAACCACGAGAGCTGAATAGTTTTGGCCCAATCTTGACTGCTTTAAATGGCCTTAGCCAAGTTTTTATGAATATGACTGTTCGACCTTCGATTTCGACTATCTCCGCCGTGGGCTCGACAGCAGGATGAGAACTGGGACGGTGACGTAGATGTGAGTTAGTTCATATTAAACGTGGACTTGCGCAGCATCTACCGCACCCCCACCTCCTTCCCCACCTGGACCCGGTGTCAAGACGGAGTCAGTATGACGAGAGACGGCAGGTGGCTGACACGGCTACCGCCTGGTCCACAACAAATACTTAATTAGCACTTTCAATAACAAAGAAAAAGGGGCACAGTTAGTGACGTTGCGTAAGTCTTAAACTGGACCTGCCACCGCATCCCGAATCTTAGCATTTGTTATACAGTGAGTGACCTATCTCATGAAATGTTGGCTAAAATTCTGAAATGCGTTTTAGATTGGGAAGGATTACTTGGTCGCGGTTGGAATACTGACCAACTTGCGACATAGTCTTATAACATTTCGGACTCGGCAGGATGTCGGCTTTTAAATGCAAATCTTTTTACTCTCCTGTAGAAAGCGTACTTGGTAAAAAATGACTACTTAAGTAGCATGCATTTTTCCCATTGATTTTCGATAGTCCTGCAAATCCAAATATATTTTATAGAAACCACAAACAAAAGTATGCTTTATTTTAATCAATCAATAGAGAATCACATCTTCTTTATATTTTTTACTTAAGAAAGGAGTATAATTAGGTTTTAAAAAAGTTTCCTAATTGCCGAATAATTTGGAGCCTGATCATTCGTTGCGTTAGCGCTTAGTAATTTAAGTCTGAAATGTGCATGCGTTCCGCGTAAAGAAAATAACATATTTTTTCTATGCCATTAAAGAGGTATCATACAGAGTACAAAAATTTTGCAATGGATGCAGACCATGTTGTACATTTCATGAGGAGCAGTGGTAAACGGCCAGGTACGATGCTATGTGAATGGACATATCGCGGTCCTAAAAAGTCTCATAATTAGAAACTTTTTTAAAACCTAATAATACTCCTTCCGTAAGTATAAAAGGTAAAGAAAACGTGAGTCTCTATTGATTGAGTAAAAGAAAGCATATTTTATTTGTGGTTTCTATAAAATATATTTGAATTTGCAGGACTATCGAAAATCAATGGGAAAAAAGCATGCTACTTATGTAGTCATTTTTTACCAAACACGCTTTCTACAGGAGATTTAAAAGACGTGCATTTAAAAGCCGACATCCTACCAAGTCCGAAATGTTATAAGAGTATGCCTTAAGATAATCAGTATTACAACCGCGACCAAGTAATCCTACCCAATCTAAAACGCATTTCAGAATTGCAGCCAACATTTCATGAGATAAGTCACTCACTGTAAGTGTAACTTTCTCATAACGTCTACCAGAATCGATGTAGCCTCCTGTGTTGATCTAGCGCATGTGCCCCGCCGCCCGTTATAGCGACAAAAAAGCTGATTATCATCTATTGTTCACGAACCGATGTGAACCCATTTGCATCTTTGTTTCGGAACATCCTCATGGTTATATTGGAGCATAGACTCCGCATACGTTGTACTGACATCATTGTCTGCCTTCATCAACCATATTCTAGTGGTGACTTGAACTGCGGTCATAAGGAAAGCTTATCAAAACAAAGCTCCATCAGTTGTGTCGGCATCTTAACGACCTATTCCACAGGAAATTAGGATCCATACCTGCTTAGATAAGTGAACTTCTCAATTCAACAAAGATGAATTTACAGTTCTTTAGTTGCCAATTTGTATTCTGAGATATCTTTAGCTTTTGAGTTCTGAATAAGCTCAAGTCGATGTCCACAAATACGGGTAATTGGTGAAGGTTGAGCGGTAAAGCGAATATAAATTGCATTAAAAGCCTTTCTGGAATAATGTACCCAAATAAACTCGTCGCTTACCGCCAGATTCCAAATGGATTTTGAAGTCTGCTCCACGGCATGGGAATGAACCTATCCTGATGCGTGAGAGCCTTGAATGGAAGAAAACACAATCCTTGGAACATGAAATTTGTTCATACAATGCTTTGAGATCGTGTTGTAAGACACCGTCAATCAGACCGGCTAAAAAATGAGAACTTCCAAAAGAAGAGAAAAATATGCGATCACTGAAACAAGAGGTTTACCGGTCCGACGTTTCGGATTTTCACTCGACACCATCATCAGAGACGGTTGCAGGTAAAGGTAGTCGGGACAAAAAGACTGCAGTATTTATCGTGCGTAGTTGCCGTGGGATCACATACGTACCATAATGAACAGTTCGCACGATCTCCCAGTTTCCCCGGTGGAAGACAAGTTTGGGGAAATACGAAGCCTTCGACGGGTACTGAGATTGAATGCATACCCGCGTAATATTGTCAACCAGTGCGTACGTAAACGAACCCAGATACCAAATCCAACCAGCCCCAAATTTTAGTGGGCTCTTACGTACGACAAGAAAGTCTCAAAATCTGTTAGCCGTCCTCTTACTCCAACTGGAATTGGGGCTTCACACAGGCCGGAAGCAGTCATCAGGCGCCAAGTCACGAGGCCAAAAGACCCACTGCCATGGCTGGAAACGTCTGGATTAGTTTACCGCATATGATGCAGTTGCAAACAGAGCAAACACATCGGGGAAACTGAAGATCACTATCAAAACGGATGACTCA